TGTTGGAAGTTGTCGAAATATTTGACCGTCCCGGTACATAATTGACACCATGTATATGTATTATTCATATTAAAAAAGATACCTTTTGTAATACAAGCGTTCTTTGGGTATGTGTTCTGAAGTCCAATTCACTTGTACATCGTATTATCATGTCTTCGTATCGAAAAATTTCTCCTGTTGTCGGATAGTATTGATGACATTTCTCCTGAAAAGCAGATTAATGTATGATAAATGGCATTAACATTATACTAATTATTATCAATAATTTACTTTGCCCTTCTCGACCAACTGTGTCAGCATAACTATAATATTAATGTTGTACTGATTAATCATCCTCCAGAAATCGTAAGTAGTTTCCTCTTTTGGACCTTGACAAGCTATGTATTCATCTTCTCCTGTATATCCCTGCAAAATAAATTCACATTTTTTCATCTGTATAAGACATTCAATAATTCTTGTTAAAAATAGAGATGATTTCTCCTTTAACGAAATTTCATAATTTTGAGCTTCTTTAAATTATTTTGAAATTAAATGTCCCAAAGATCCGATTAACTATTTTATTAAATTAAGACTATTAAGATATATAATTCATAAAAATTAGACGAAAAATAACGTAGACTTATGTCTGCTTCACATAAGTGTAAAAGAATCTTTCTTCTTAATTAGTTGCAATTTAAAGTTTCATTCATATCTTTTAGAATCATTTATGATATTTTTGTTTAAGCAAGAATTATTTCAGTCTTTAATAGAGGAACATTATCAGATTAACGTACATGTGCATATGTAAAATATTTACCTTTATGAATGATGCATTGATATAATCCGTATTAGGGTCGTTATCTATTACATCCAGCTTTACTCTTGAGAAATCATCTGAAAGTATGAATCATATATAATAGTTGCTGCAAGTTGTAAGTATGCATGAGTGAATTGCAAGACAAGTTCGTACATGGTAAAATGTCAGAGTAGCGATTTTTTTTCCGATTAGCTTGCAAGCAAGCTGAATTTGTGGGCATCTGCAAATCGACGCTGAGTGTCTGGAGCAGCCGAAACTCATTGCTCAATTTCCCAGGATTGTCTACCAATTGCTGACAATGGCTCATGAATTTTCTTCTGGTGAACGGCGCGGGCACGGGTGAGCCAGGCATGTCAGAGTGAAGAAATCTTCGCAGTACTCTGGAATAGAAGAGATTGCGGCTAACTAAGATTTGTTCTATAAATCGTACAAAGCAAGATGTATTAATATATCTTATCGTGCGTATTTATTTAATCAATAAATATACGATCAAAAATATAACGAGGATAAGATACGTCTGAAAAAATATACACGCGTGTGTTGTGTGTGCAGTGGCGGATTTAGACAGAGGCCCACGAGGCTCGGGCCTAAGGATGCCATCTTTCTAGAAGTACAAGAGCGTCATCCTTTTAGAGACCAAAATTAAAAGGCCTGTCCTTTTTTCACAAACAAGTTCTGAATTGGTGTACACTGTTGCAGTAAGTTAGAGTGAGACAGGTATAATTTGTTTCACTTCTAACATATGTTCAGAACTAGTACAGAATTCTTCGAAAAAGAACAAACAGAAAGTTAATTTTATATTTGTGTAGAATTGTCAGTTGTGACGCATTTTTGCCAATATGGCACCTTGAAGTAGTGCTTTGGCACACAAAAATAAGATCTTGACGTGTTGGTGAAAAAGTGATA